CAAGAGTGCATGACACAACATATTATTGTGTAAGCTACCATGAAATCTTAATTTAAGTGCACTGAGAGGAAATGCATCAAGTCACTCTGGGTCACCACACGAAACCCTTGTAGCACTGTAAGACAGTGCAAAGCATAAGGCTAAATAGCAGTAGACAGCATTAACAAACTGTAACCTCAAAATAAGTGCGCAGGGCGACTTCTCAAGAGTAATGAATCTGGAGGTGGCATCAACTTTGTTATTAATTCTAATCAGTCAAAGGTGGGGTTGTAACCTTACCCACATATCAGCAACAGCTTAGGGGAATTATTCTGTCATTTTCTTAGCCTGCATGGTGCAAACATTAAGCTTGATAAAACCTTTCATTCTAGCTGCAAGGAAAATTGCTGATGGGGTACACTGAAATAGTGTCCATGCTCCCAGTCAGGCAGAGGGAGCCACTGCAGCTTGTGCTCTGGAGAGGAACAGCCCACATGTTATCAGGAACCAGAGCATGGTCCCATCTTCTTGTTGAAGCAAACAGGCCATAATGTCATGGATGTGACCAAGCCCTCTACAGCATCCCTACTCCAGCACAGGTACCTTGCTGCAGGAGCCCATCTGTCTGTCACATTCAGTGCAGAGAGTGGTTTAACATGCTGGCTCCTGCTTACAAGCCACTCTTCAGCATTGCTCACATCTCTGTGCAGTTTGGCTCCTCACCTGTTGAACCTGGGAATAATAAGCATTTAGAGGATAAGATAATTACACTGGTATGGTAATGACACTACTCAAAGAAGTAACTAATTGCTGATCTCAGATACATGGAGTTAATGCCAGCACTATCAGCAGGACCTTTTTTGTTCCCATTTGTAAACAAAACAATAAAAATGTTGCCGTGTTAACTTGGCTGCCTCAGAAATAAAAAAAAATGTCTCCTTCACCCAATCCCCGTAATTTAGTTTGCCTCCCCTGATATACCAAGGACCAAAATTCAGCTTGCAACTCACATTTCAAAGCTCTGAGCCAGGAACAGGGAGAGGGGAGTGATAGGAATAGTATCCGCCACAGTGTGTGTCTTTCACAAAGAAGTGGCAACACTTATGATGATAGTTACAGCCCACAAAGCTCTAACTGAACATTAAATGTAATAAAAAAAACCCACAATGAAGTAAGAAGGCAATTAATTTTACTACTTAGGTAACTTGCCCAGCAATCAAGTATTTGCACAACACTCGGTCGTGATTCCCTAGCCTGTGAGAACATAAAACAAACAGACCGAAACGCTGTCATTAAGACCTAACAGAAAGCTGCAACATATACAATGGCTCATTACCGCTCATTAAAAATGCCTCGGGTTTAAAGGAGTGAGACGGCAGCTAAGGACAACCATCAGAGGTCTCATCAGCTCACGGCGTATTTAAAATACAGTACGCAGCGAGGTGAACAGGTGCAAGCGCAAGCCCGCAGCACTGCAACCCAATCCTGCCGCTGTCCCCCCATGCCAGGCAGCAGGGACAGATGGTGCGGGAGCTGTGAAGACACCACCACGCCGGGACGGGCAGGGGCAAGCGGCTGCCCAGCTCAGCGGGAATGCTCCTCCATCACCACCCGCTGCTCCGGCTTCTCTCCGTGCCCATCACAGCAGGGCCTGAGAGTCTGGCCTCGAGGTTTTCACCGGGCTCCAACTCTCCTTCTCAAATAGACCGTTCCTTCCAGTTATAGTTTTAATTAATTTAGAATGAATTATTTAGGTCTCTTAATTTCATGGCTTATTTTGAAGAAGTCAAATTAATGCAGAGCTAAGGAGCTCCAAAGGCTCCCCAGCTCTCATCTACCCTGGAGGGATCCAATTAAAACGAGAGACACTAGTCAAAATGTCAAACCATGATCATTTTTAAAGCCATTGTGCAACAGATCTATGGCTACATATAAACCACACAATTACTGAATAAATCACGCAATACTTGGAAACCTATAAGCCCAAAATGCCCTCACTCAAGATGCAGCCTTCCCTGTCAACCAAGAGCATGTTCAGAACTTATAATAAATAATAAAATTCCCATTTCCTTTTACAGGACAATTAAAACCATGGAGTATAAAGAAACATGTAAATTGGACCATAATATATGATAAGGGCTTAAATGCAGAAAAGACAGACCAGAAGGTCTGCTGACTGTGGAGTTGAAGAACCTCTGAGCCAGCACAGGCAGAACTGCAGAAATCTCTCTGTTCTGCTTCCAAAGCCACACAGGCACACTGATGATCGCTTCAAGGGTCTCCACAACTGTAGCACATTTTATTCTGGAATCCTTGTGATTCACTTACAATCTTTTTGTGTATTAGCTTTCTCAAACCTTTAGAGAGCATAATAAGGCCTCTTTCATCCACAACGTCCCTTACTAAATACAGTCTTTTTCTTGATTTCAACTTGCTTGAAAAATCCTAACTCTTTCATTCTAGCTCTGAAAGTATTTTGTCTAGCTGTGGAAAAGATGCAGGTATTAAATCATTGCTGAATGGAAGACTAAATGAAAAACTGAGACAGGTCAAAATTTCAGATAAGAGTTTGCTTTTGATGAGCTGTAACTCTAATGTAATTCAATTAATCTTCTTGGCTTCTGCAGAAATTTGACCCCCTTCTTTTCCACCAGTCAAACAAATTTTTCCTAACCAAAGCAGCAGGATCGCTGAGTACTTGGTCTGAGCACAGGAACGTAATATTGTTTCAATGGGACTCTTTATTTAATCTCATTGCCCTTCTAACGAAAACTCTCAAAGTCCCACTTACTTCAAAGTTAAATTTCAGCAGCAGAGAAAGGGATTGGAAACCCATTAGTCTTAGGAACAGCGCACTTCTTTGGCAAAACTCATCCAGGACCCACTGGACTCAGCACACCTCCAAGGAGGAGCAAAGGAGCTGGTAGGAGACCAGCCCAAGGGGTGCCTGAGACAGCAGGGGACACACAGCAACCAGCACAGGTTGCTGCTGGCCCTCTCTGCCCCCAGCTTGCCGACACCTCCCTCCTGGGGCAGGGAGATCCTGTCAAATACTGCATCCACGCTTTTGGGTCTGCCCAGAAGAGCGCTGCAAAAAAAATAAATGACTCTTTGCAGAAGCTGCTGCACAACTAGTGTGTTTCTCATATGTATAGTGCTCTGTGAGCTGCCAAGTTCTTCTCCTTCTGTCATGTTGTGGGAAAGAAGATCTCTAAATCGCCCAGGAAATGTCATGAGATTATTTTGTTGTATGGTTTTGAGTCTTTCTGCCCTTCCCATCTGTGAAATGAAGAGACCAATGGTAAGATCTTGATATTTTCATTTGTGCTTTATTTGAGAACTGAAATGCAAACATGTCTTGTCCTGCAAAACCGAGAAAAATGAAGGCTTGAGTATTTCTGTCAGGCATAAGGAAAGAGAAATTAAGATCAGTATGCACAGCGGAAGTATGGTCCTGTGTCTGCCTGGCTGTAGCAAGTAGCTACAGTGCAGTGGTTTTCACAATAAAGCTTTCCCTGACAGTCACCCCTCTGCAGGGTTGCTACAGTAAGTGGAAGGAGATGCTGGAGAAGGGCTGAAGTACCACAGCATGCTAACAGCTGGTAAATGTCTTTCTAAATATAATGTTATAAGTGAAAAAGACAGAGTACCAAGAAAGAGCAGTTTTAACCCATCAGAAGCAAGCTATCGGAGCTTGGGGAGGAGGCTTGAGAGAATGAAGGCAGAATTACCTGGAGCAGTTTGCACAGCCCTGAAAAAGATCAAAGACATTAAACTACCACTGCTTGCTCTTCCCAAGACTCTCCATTTAACTTCATATGATGTCAGCAGTGCAGAGAAACAATATGCATTTCTACAGACCACCATTTGTGCCCCCAAAATTAAACATTTTTTTTTAATTGCTTATGATTACCTTCTAAATAACTGATGCGTGGCAGGCTTGTCCAGGGGTTGTGTAATTTTATTTACTAAGTATTTGACGTACACTGTTCAGCTGAAGTTTGCTTAGTAATACACGGCTAATAATGTGGAAATAATTAAAGGAAAACCAACACATTCTCTCCATGTACTCCCATGTTTTTGACATCATGGTTTTGACTCTTAAATTCACTTCTCCTGATCTTTTTCCTGGTCATCTGCGTTTCCCCTTCCACTCCTGGCCATTAATGTTTTATTGTAGTGCTTCCATGAGTCATCTGTCTGAGATGAGGGTGAGTTCTCCAAGTCACAAGTTCCTGCCATGGTCAGGTGTTTCTTCACCCAAAGGACACTCTGGACTACACCTTGAGCTTGGAACAGTCCCCTCTCTCCATGTCTCTTAACAAAGTATAGTATCTTACAGA